TCGTTATAAGCCTTCCACTGCATAAAAACTCATCCTATATTGGTTGATTCTTGGTTCTGCCCATACTCATTGGAGTATGTAACATGTGATCTCTACCCGGTACGCCTCCCGAGTCAGTGTTCCTCGTCAGCACCAAGATCTAAAAATGTGCTGCTATCAGTCCGCCGGTCAAAACGTGCGGTAACTAACTGTCGTCAACGCCCACTTAAATCGTCCTCCGAATCCTTCTCCCAAAAAGTCCAGGTACATACCATCTCGTCCTATGGTGCTATCATACCGCTACCCAAAATTTCAGGTGCTATTTCCGTCACCTGGAAGAACGGTATCTGCTTTTCAAAATTGTCTGAAAACCAGGGAATAAAATAAAATAAAATAAAATAAAATAAAATAAAATAAAATAAAATAAAATAAAATAAAATAAATACCAAAAACAGTCAAACCAGCCGAACCTGACGGTTACCTAACAGCTACCCACCCCTTTTTTCCCTTGGGCCTTCGGCCTCTCGGTCCATTCCGTTGCTCTGCGTACCCTCCGTGCAGTTACCAAGGGTCCACCTCAGACCTCTTTTTCTCGCTTTAACCCAATCTGCCGAGTGTTTCATGGCTGCAAATAGCGAGTAAAGTGCCCGTGTCGGCACAGCCTTGGTCAAATTGGCCAAAGCAGAGAGAGAGAGAGAGAGAGAGAGAGAGAGAGAGAGAGAGAGAGAGAGAGAGAGAGAGAGAGAGAGAGAGAGAGAGAGAGGACCTTTCTGCTGAGTTCAAACAGGTGGTGGAAACACCCCCCCAAGAAAAAGAAAAGAAAGGCAGCGCATCTGGCGCACCACACTAGTTCATGGCCCGCAGGTGCCTGGGCATCAGCGCACGGCGCATGAGTAGCGGGGTGCATGCGCATATAGCACACCTATGCGCCACCAGCCATCCGCGCATGGCGCAGCGCACAAATGCGCCGCAAGTATGGTATGAAGCCAGTGTGGTGCAAGTGAAAGCACTTATAACTTATAAATTAGTGTCCTTTCTCAATTGGCCAGTAATTTCGCAAGGATTCGTAAGCGACAGTGAGCAACCAAATTTGATGGTAATTGCGGATGTCACTTCTATCCTCGTTTTTGTATAGCGTGGTATTAGCGAGTCACTGTCCCTCGACTTAAATATTCTTGCAGTCCCTCTTTTCCCCAGGACTGGAGTAAGTGGATTCTAGACTTTCTTCTAAGTTCAACGTCCAATTTCAGTCCTATCCCTGTTGCTATACCTATTTACTGTTCTATCCTCCTGGGACATGGAAACATAGCATGAGAACAGCGTCAACTCTCGGGCACACATGCAACACATCAAAACAGACTCAGGCTCGGAAATCACAGCAATCAGGCAAACAAACAAGCACATGGGCATAGCTCAGAAAACACAGCAAAACAGACTTAAACTCGGAAATGTCCGCAACAGATCAATGACAGAAACTTTCTCAGAAAAATGCAGGTTGCTCAGGCTGAAAACTGAGCGGGTCATTACACGGCTGTCTATCTGTCAAATGTATGAAGGTCCTACAATGTATTGTAATGACCTGCAAAACTGCGGACTGAGAAATCTGCTGTTTTCTGAGTATTGAGGCGTGCTAGACTGATTTGCTGAGATTCCTGTGTACCTCTGGGTGCTTGCTGTGTGGCTGAGACGCCATATGTCTGCGTGACCCGCTCATTGAGGGCCTGTGGCACTTGGGCCGGTACTAACCTGTGGCCGTGTGACTTGTGGGGTTGCAGCCGGAAAGTAGGGTATTACAGGCCCGTGGAGGCCAGAAACAAGAGTAGCGCGTAGGTAGGGAGATAGGACAAAATGGTGGTACCTTTGAGAGGCCGGGTAGCTTTTTAGAAGTCCGGTAGGCTTAGGGGTAGGTACCAATCTGGTAGGTCTGAGTCTAGAGTCTGCGGAAAGGGGGAAATGATGTTCATGCCATAAGTGGAGGGTACCGGTAGTCTTGGGAGGCTGCAGAGTGTTGAAGTCACCTCATGAACAGGCACTAGTTCGGTATATCAGCAGACGAGGCGAAGAGGTCAGCCCCATTTTACTAGCGTGCACTTGCAGGCACGCTACTGAAGCGCTCACCCAGCAAGCACAGCGCTGAGTGGAGGAAGGAGGCGGAGCTTGGCCCTCACCTTGGCTATGGTGGAGGTGACCAAGGTGGAGGTGGGAGAAGGTCGAGGTATGGCAGAGGCCTAGGCAGGAAGAAGAAGGAAAAAGGAGGAGGAAGAAGAACGGGAAGAAAGGAAGAGGAGGAGGAGGAGAGTGAGGCTATGGTGGTCTGCATCTTCTTCTTGGTTGGTGCTGCACCTGGAAGACCCCTAGTGGAGTGATACTTGGAAGAAAGACTCCTGGGATGGAATGTGGCATGGTGGCCGAAGTGGGAGAGGCAAAGTAGCCTTGCATTGTCCTTTGGACATCGGAGCTAGGCCCCGATGGTCCGCCATAGCCATCGTCTAGACCAAGTAGCAGAAGGAGGTGTAGGATGGCTATGGTGGACTTCTTGATGGCTGGCAGTAAGGGGAGGACTTGTACATTGATTCTGTTTTATTCATTCATTGTTGTTGTTATTATTATTATTAACAAGTGAACCCGCCGCAGCCACGCTGCGGCCGAGGAGAGGGAGGAACAGGGGGGCGGGGCTGTTGTTGTCACACTGCTTGGGCATGTCATGTCGAATCGGCGTGAGAACATGGAAATATACACTGTCACTTTTTTTTACTTTTTTTTTTGTGTCGTCGGTCGTATTCGCTATACACTAAAAAAAAACATGACTGGGGCAGACTGTTTCGTTGGACTTTCACTGACTGATCAGGGGGTTGTGTGTGTGTGTGTGTGTCT